AGTCAAACTTTAATAAAGTTCCTGCATTCAGACGTCTATGAAGTAAAAATTGCTGATGCATCTTTTTAGAAGTATTCTAGCGTTCCTCTTATTAATCTAAAACATGATTTTCTGTCTGTTCCTGCACTGGTTTGAATTATGCACACATTAATGAGTGAACAGGACCAGAATCCAGTCCTTATTATTCCATGCAGCTGATTTGCAATTAGAACAAAAAGAACAAAAACCGTGCCCTTTTAAAGATAATAAAARCCAAAGCTTTGTGGATTTATCAATGGAAATAAGTTTTTATCCATGTTTGTGACACTGAGGTCGCACACAGGAGACGGCTTTTCCTTTTTATCAGCTGCTCTTTTGTTTCAGCGCGACTTCGTCGACGAGTGTTTGGACTCGTGCACAAACACTGACGACCAAAGGTTAAAAGCTTCACACACTGAGTACCAACTCTCAAAGCTTCACACAAAATAAGTAAAAAAAACTGCACCTGGACTCTRCTGCCCTGCATCTGATCCTGGGTTCGTTGCTGATTTTGTCCCTTAMTTTTAGCTTTTTTTTCTCCTGCTTTCCTTGTTTCCAGCAGGGAGCTCCATCCAGAAGTCAGGGCTGTGTGTTTATGCTATAGCCTCACAGTATACGTGTGTTGCTGTGAGCTTGTATGTGTCTCAGTGTGTGTGTCTGTGTGTGTGGGTGTGTTGTGCGAAGTAAATGGCTTCCAGGATCCCCTGGGTTGCATATCAACTGTGTTCACAGAGAGCAGAGTCATGACTAAAGCTGCACGCCTTTCATTAACACTGAAAGAGAGGCAGATACACTGAGAGCACGACTCGCCAACTTTAACAAGTCAGCCCAACTCACGGCTCAGATGGAAATGTTGTCGTTCACCCAGAGAACTGGCTGAGGCCCGAGAAACGTGCTCAGATTCTGCCGCTTGTGTAAATACAGTAAATATCCTCAGATACGTCCATCGCSAGGTGTCGTTTCTGATTTCAGGTTTCAGTGCAGAGAGGAGGAAAGCAAGTAAGATGTTTTGGTTTTGTTTTCATTTTTATTCCCTTCATGTTTTTTTAAGACTTGTTACTTGAAATATATCAGGTAGTTTGGCATCATTTCCCTGTCTATTATGGAAATACAATCTCTGCTTGGCTCGTATAAGAAAAAACATGTTTGTGAAAAAACTCAACTCCAATTTTCAATAACTTTTACATCAATAGCTATCTCAGAATTTCAGCTCATTTGATTCTTTTTCTCTTCAGCCRTTCTGCTGCTGTTTGGGTTCATTGTTCTGTTAGATGAACAGATCTTTATTTGGATTCCCATTAGTCATCGCCGAGACAATGGTTCACAAAAAACCAAAAAAAAAAACAAACATTCATTACAAAAACAGTTGCACACACTTAATATAACATAACAGCTTATGTAATTATAACACTTTATATTAGAACATAATTTAGCATGGCTCTTTTAAAAGCTCTAATGTTTGTTTTATTTAAAAAAGACGAAGGAAGGGAGTTCCATGTTCTCATTCCTCTAAAAAGAATGAAAGAGTACAACCTTTTAAAGCATGCCTTGTGTTAAACATGTAAAATGTGGCTAAATAAAAGCTGATCATATAAAAACAGTTGGTATCTTAGATACTGTATTTCTAAAAAAATTTCAAAAAGGGCAATATCAACCTCTGCACATATTGAAAACATTTGTGTATATGGTACAACTCAGGGCAAGGCGYGGTGCCCTATTTTGAACTAATTGTATTTTAGTTAGATATAATATATAATCAGATTAATCTATAATCCTTTGGTCTACAGAGGAGTTTATCGTCACTCAGTGACAGCGGCTGCCCAGGTCATTTACTACAAAAAACCCAAATCATTAAAGTAGACATGTCATCCTTAAAAATCCCTCCTTTTCACATTTAAACCCATCAGTTGGGGTCTTTATAAAGTGGAACTACAATGATTTGGTCTGAATTCCTCCTTATTCTAACTTTACCAGCCCTTCTTTCACCCCTTTGCTGCTGTGTGTCTCAAAGCAGCTCGTTTTGTTACTGTTCCTTTAAGACGCTTCAAGCCCCGCCCCCCCTCAGGCTTCCAGACCGGTCCACTCCAGTTTGAGAGAGGGGGCATCCAGACCTAATTTGGTAATTTTGTCTGAGATGATTTAACGTAATCGACTCAGAAAAACGTCACAGAAAATAAATAAAACTGAATAGGATGAAATATATGATCCAAACAGAAAATAAAGAATTTGCAGAGACTAATTCAACTTTTCTTCACTCCTAAAGACTCCAAGTCCACAACAAAAAGGATTTAACAGCTTAAAAAGTGGATTTTGCAGTATATGTCCCTTTAACCCCTCACCACTGTGCTTTGTGCTTTATATTGTTTGTGCTGATATACAGTACTGTTCAGTTTTCCCCAAATGCTGCAATACATTTTTTGTTGATTTTTAGAAAGACAAAGCCTGTCACTGTCCATGTGTCTTACCTAATAAAATGCAGCGTATTTGAACAGAGCAGCCCCACCATTTTCTTTTATTTATTTATTTATTTTTTTGTTCACAGCAGTTGGCTGAAAATATGGATGAGTCATCTTGCTTTCAAAGAGATTTCAACAAGATGAATGTGAGGTCATAAAGTTATATCTTCACACAACTGCTTTTAAAACTAAACAAATTCACGTTGGATTGTCCGCTTCACTTAAAGGGCAACTTTCTTTCACGGTGAACCACCCACAAACCTTCACCGTGAATGGTTTGATTTGCATCATGAACAGTTTGATTTGCACATCGAGCATTAAGACCCGAGTATTTTTAGTTTCTGTCGATGGAATCCCTTCTCGTCGGTGGGGGGCGGAGCCTGGCAGAGAGCCTGAAATCAATGCGGACAACATCGGCGTGGATATTGGGCCTTTTTGTTGAGAATACTGTTGGTATAATTTATTGGCTCTTTGTGCAAGGCGGACTGAAAAGTGACTCCATGCTGCAGTATTGATTTAAGCTGTTAAATCCACTTCAATCTGGCTTTTATCAAAGAGGGGCTAGAGGAGAAGTGGTGTGCTAAAGGAGGAATTTAACATTTTTATGAGTTAAGTCTTCTAATGATGAGAGGACTCAGYGTTACTCCAACCTTAAACCATCTTAGGATGAAATCAAGCAACTGAAACTATTTTCTGCCAAAGCACTCTCATCTGGACTTTGGTTCTGTGCAGCATATGTTGGATTAATTTGAAAGCACTTGAAGTATTTTAGCTCCGGCTGCAGTGATTAAGATCCAAGCAGAGCAGTTCTTCCTACTGCTAGATATTACAGATGTAGGTTATAATTTGTGTTAACAAGGGGGAAGCCTCTCCTTTCACTGCCACTTAAATCTAATATCCCTTAACTTCACAGGCATCTCTGACTCATGCAGGTTGAGACCCCCTGTGCCAAGGCATGGCACCGCTAATTAATCTCATTTTAGTGCCGGCTCTAAGTGTTCTGCTGGATGGAGATYTCATTTCCACTCATCCTGATGCTGAAATAAAGCATGGTGCTGGAACTAAAAAAAAAAAGTCTTATTCATTAAGAGCCACTTGAGACTTTAGAGTACATTTAAATGCACTTCAGCCTCCTGTCCATGAGTCACATCCTGTTTGTGGTTTTTTATCCAGGATGTGATGCTGACAGGAAGCTCGCCGTAGAAAACTGAGTCACACTGCGACAATGAGTCCACACAAAAAGTGCAATTCATGCAGGCAACACTTGAAAAAAAAGCTTCATTGTTTTTCTTTTTGCTCAAACTCGCAAACTTTGTTATTCTGTTCATCARCACTGATTTACAGTTTTTCCACAAACATTAAAACCGTGCAGGTTAAACCTTAGAAAGCCTCCCAAATCTCATGCAGAGGTATGGACCAAAACTGACACAATTAGAAATAAAGTTCTTGGGCAATCTCCTCTCCTATCGGTCAACAGACAGGAAGGTTTGAAAATGTTTAAAGTTTAGTTAAAAAYRAAGGCAAGGAGAAAAACACTTACCTGAGCCTTTGTTTTAAACTAAACWTTAAACTYAAGCTAAACTGAGTCAGYACAAGCATGCGCAGTGGATCTGCACATGGATCCTGCTACTTCCTGTAGACCAATAGGTGAGAAACTGACCTGAGAAGCTCCGCCCACCTTATTTGCATAAGACAGAAATGTATAAGGTAAAGTAAAAACGGGAGACAAAGCAACACATGGAAGTAAATAGACTTCTAGAAAGAATTACACAAAGTAAACAAATATAAACATTTAAGAGACAAATGCATGTACAAGTAAAAGGAAAAATGAAAAAAAATATATATTTAAAAAAGAGTAAAATGCAATTTATGTTCTAAAATATATAATTTATTGGAACTAAGTTTGAAAAATAAATATGAAGGACAGTTAAAGTACAAAACATGAGGTAAAGTTCCCCCTTTTTAATTTAATTGGTGCATTTTACGTATACAATGGTCCATTTCTATATTTCTGCTTTTATTTCTAATTATATCAGTTTCGGTCCTCCAYAGTGGTGAGGATTGGAGCATCATTAGCTGGTAAATGAAGAACTCAGATGTTTCTCTAAGACAGACCTGAATGACTAGAATAAGAAGAGGTTAAAATACAGATAAAGGAAGCTAAAATAAGACAAATTATTAAAAATCACTGTGTTTTCTGTTTGTTGTAGCCTGGCGTAGTTCATTTTTCAACTTTTAACTTGAGTGTGTGTGTGGAGGTGGGGGGGGGTAATCCTACTCTCAGCCAGGATGCTGAAGGCTGCATCAGTTCGACATACTGTTATCTTCCTCCCTGTCAGTATTTCTGCCTCCTCTTCCTCACCCTGTACGACCGAGGATAGTCGAGTCAGCGTAGTTCAGGCTCATCCCACCCGTCTTCATGCATCTGTGTTTTCTGCTCACGACTTCAAACCTGCTGCAAGAAATGAACATTTGTTTTTAAATTAAATATATTTCTCCTCTGTCTTTGTCTTTTTTTCCTTCCAGCAGCCGATGCAGTGCCGGTACGGAAAGATGGGGATCAGGTAAAATGTTTTTTTTTTCTTCACTGATTCTGCATCAAACTTTTCATTACATTGAAACCTATGTTGGTAAAAAAAAAAAAAGGTACAGAAAAAGCTGTTTTTTTGAAACAGTTCAAAAAGAAATGTCACCATAAGAAAACTGATATTTCTTCCCTTAAATCAGTTTGTGCTGAGAGACAAGCTTTGATTTTCAACTGCCTAAACCTGAGAAAGGTCGCTTGGATCTAAGCTTTGAAAAGAAAAAGAAAAAAGGGGAGAGCTTTACAATATGAGTGACATGTTTTTTCTACATGTACACGTTTTCTTCTGAATGTCTGAAGCACCTGAGGATTTAAGAGACATGCAACACTCTGATGTATTTATCCGGCTTTTAAAAAGGAGTCAGTGATGTTTTACTTATTAGACTTTTTCTAAAAGTCCAACATTTTCTTTTCTTTACTGCAGTGCTCGTTATTTAATTTAATAACAGCTTGGCTTGGGTACAGGGACCAGACTCTAATCTAACCCATTAACCCTGTCTATTCTTCCAGAATGGACAATTCTRAAGAAATAGTTTGTTCTYCCACCCAGGAAAAACAACCTATTAACCCCGTCCCTCTGGAGGAACGGACGGGGTTAATAGGTCAGAAGTTGKTTCCTTTCCACATCACGCAGTACATAATCCATCCGTTTTGGATCAGTGCACCCAAACCTCATTCTTTCCAGCTTACAGAGGAGGCAGACAGCTCTTTTTATTTTATTTGCCCCCTTGCTGTAGAATATTCTCAACACACTGAGCCAGTTACCTGACCTCAATTCAAATGATTATTTATATGACTGCTGATGAATGGACTGGAGACAGAAAGCCTGGCAGCATCATAAGGGATGTCTGCAAAAATCAGTAACATAGGTATTATAATGGAGTCTCTGTGACCAAACACATGCAATATACTCAAAATAACTCAGTTTCAGCCAGTTAAAAACATATTTGTTGATTTTATGTGTAAAATACAGCAGAAAAATGTTTAAATGTCAGTTCGATGTCTGCTGTTTGTGATTAGACTCATATAGTGCACARTCCAAATCAGTTAATTACTCTTAATTAGTGGAGGTGTTAATGGTAGTGTGTCTGCATGTGTGAGCWGTGTGAGCGTCTGGCACCTTGTCCTGCATGTCTCACTTGATGTGAGCAAGACAAAGCTGAAGCTGCCTTGCATGATAAGCATGTACTGTATATATATATATAGCTAATGGGTGATTGATGGAGCTGTTAAAGAACATTTATCACATTAAAGCTGGTGGGTTCCACCTCGCTCTCATAGTCAGGAATTTGTATAAAATACATTGTTCTACTAGTTATCAGTCTATGTTGGGAATTATTATTTGTTMATTCCTTTAGTTTGGTTTTGAAGGCAGGTCTGAGTTTTTATAAAATTTGAGCTTTAATGAAGACAGTTTGACAAATSGTGACCTGGGACCAGCTGCAGGTCAATAAGTGAGTGATGTGTTTAGGGACAAGGCCATTTAAGGCTCTGAAGGTGAGCTGTTATATTTTTTAATCAATAAAATCAGTTTCACTGGGAGCCACTTTAGGGACACAAACACGAGGCTTTTAGTCACAGTGTTGAGTTTATCTGCATRAAGAGATCACAAACGGAGCTCTGACAGATACCTGCATAAAATACATCAGTTTCAAAATGAGAGTAAACAAAATGTGTGATAAATAATATAAATACTGAGTTTTTTAAGCTGGAAAAAACAAGATTAAACAAGCAGTTTGACTTGAGCTTCACTGGAGTTTTACTCCTAGGTTTCAAACAGCTCGTATGAGGATATTGATAAACTCTCAAGATAAAACTGAAGGAAGTCTGGAGAGTCAAAAATAAGATTTTTTGATCTAAAACTATAACTAAAAAACTAAAAAAAGATCTGTATCACAAATCAACAGGCTAATGATCATGACATTATTTACTGTAATTGTTACAAAATCTTTAAAAAGTCAATTTGTCATAAATAAAAAAAAGATGTATATGTGATTAATGTAGACATATCCTTTATTTTCACATTTAAATCGTTCAGTTTGGTCTTTATAAAGTGAAACTACAATGATTTGATCTGAATTCTTCCTTATTCTTACTTTACCAGCCCCTCTTGCACCCATTTTCAGCTCGTTTTGTTACTGTTCCTTTAAAATGCTTCAAGCCCCGCCCCTTTTCAGCTTCTAGACGGGTCCACTCCAGTTTGAGAGAGTGGGATAGCATTTTGTAACCTTAACAATTTATTTACAATTTAAATAAAAGATGTCAACAAAGGAAGACTTGTCCATCCAGCCTTACGTGTTGAAGCCAGAGTCTGACCCAGAACCAGAGTCTGACCCAGAACCAGAGTCTGACCCAGAACCAGAGTCTCACTCAAACAGAATATAAAGACATGTTTGCAGGAGAGACTAAATTAAACTTTTCTGCCTCCTAGAGACTCCAAGTCCACAACAAAATGTACTGTATTTAACAGTTAACAATGTGGATTTTGCAGATWTGTCCCCTTTAAATAATTTGTGTTGTAATTTTGCCTTTAATTAATTTTTTTTAGCAATGTTAAAAAAAATCCAAACTGATATTTCTGATGCAAGTCTTTGTCATTGTTATTTTGTGGGACRGAAACTTTGGAACCCACAAGCCTAAAAGAAACCGTGTTTTAAAACTTGAAATATCCTAAACCATAATGAACAATATATTTCAGTTTAACAAAGCTGAACCCCTGAATGTGTCCAAAGTTTTACACATGTCTAAAAAAAGGAGGAAGGGTTGATAAAAACACTCGTATTAATCACAGATGTGCGCTCTCATGTGACTGTGCACGAGTGTGAAGGTGTTTCTTTGTTGATAGCCTTGTACCGAGGCCACAGAGCTGCTSTCCCTCAGGGTCCAACTGTTACTGGGCCATGTAGCACTTCTCAGCTGTGGACTCTGGAGAGACACACAAAGAATGACACAGAGGGGCACAAACACACACATTTGAGACAGTTATCTTATGAACGATTGATATTTTCTGTTTTGTACTCAGATTGCCTTAAAAACACCAAGAACCTTTTATTGTGTTAATGCTTCACAAACATTCACACAGTTGAGACATTTTCTTCTGCACATTTTTGAAACCATTGGGCAACAATTCATGTATCAAAACGTTCAGCTCCGTCAGGACATTCCAGCTATGACTTTTGGTATTTCAGCTGTTTATACCCTTTTAGCCATTTCACGTTTTCAGCCACATTTTTCCCATTGAAAATGAATGGAGCTGTTTTCAACATCCTCAAAACCCTTCAAAATATTTCTAAATCTTTACATCACCTCACACATGTYGTTYTGGTTCTGCTCTTCTTCTRYATTTAGCTTCTTCTTTTCTTTCCTTTTTTTWAAATTTTAGACTTTTCCTGCTATTTATTGCTAAAATTCAACTACTTTCTCTAAATTGTACATTTTGGTGCTTTCAGCTTCTCTTTGATAATTTGATTTTTTTTTTTCATTTAGTCACTTTCTGCTTATTTCAGCSGTTTGCTGAAGTTTTACTGTTCAGCTGTTATTAGCTAAAATGAGTTTTTTAATTTGTCCTTTCACATCACTTTTACCATCTGTAAGCTAAATTTACCTTGTGTCTGCTACTTTTAGCTTCTTATTACGCTAATTTGAGCTTTTTTCTGTTATTTTAAGTATTTATCTGCTAAGTTCTGATTTTTCATGCTTTTTTCCRCTAATTTGAGCTTTTCGTGCTTCTTTCAGTTGCTTTCTGCTTATTTAAGCTGTTTGCTGAAGGTTTACATGTTGTGAAGCTGTTATTAGCTAATTTTTTTTTTTCATTTTT